ATTTAAAAATCAAGTTTTGAATGGTGATAAGAAGAAAATACGTCATGGGAGGGAAATAAAGCAGTGGAGTGAGGTCAGGGAGGGCTTCTCCGAGGAGGTGCCATTTGAGGAAGGAACTGAGTGATGAGCAGATCGGGAGAGAGTATTCCAAGAGTGACATTTAAGAGTGACCCACCACTGTAAGAGATGACCCCACCCAGAGGAGAAGAGAGGCCTTCCGCAGTAAACCCATTCTCTCCCTGTCCCCGGGGGAGCAGGACTCAGAGGATACCAGAGACGGGGTAAGTCTCGGCTGGAGGACGGAAGCAGGAAAAGGTGTTTTGTGCTGGTTGATGCAGGTGGGCACATCTCCCTTGGCAGACAAGGGAGAGCTTTGTGAGTTAATGATCCAAAATCTTAATTGCCAAGCACCGCCCTGAGCACTGGGACACAACAAGGAACAAAGCAAAGGTTCCTGCCCTAGTGGGACTGACATTCTGGTGGGGAGAGCCAGACAGTAAACTATCCACAGATATACCAGTGGTAGGAGTAGAGTGACAGGGGGTGTGCTGCTCTGCTTGAGAGTCTGATGGCTTCTCTAAGGAGGTAATGTTTGAGACCTGACTGATGAGAAGGGACCAGCCAGGCAGAGCTCTAGGGGAGGAGCTTTCTAGTTAGAACAGCAAGTGCAAAGGCCCCGGGGCAGGAATGAGCTTGGCTTCTTGGCAGGACAGATACTCGTGCATGAAACAGGGACCAGTAGAAAGTGAGGTGGGAGAGGGTGGTGGGATGGGGCCAGATAATGTACAGCCTTGCGGACAGTGGGAAGATATGTGGAGTTTATTCTAAGTGCATCAGAGAGCTGTTGGAGAGTTTTAAGTTGGGGGAGAGAACACGATCAGATTTATGACTTTATACCTCTGGCTGCCATGTGGCAAATAGTGTGCAGGGGCAAGGGTGAAAGATGAGAGCCCAGTGAGACAACTGGTGGTTGAAGAGCGATGGCGGTCACGGTGGCAGTGGCAACTGATGGCAGTGGAGATAGAGTGCAGTGGTAGACTCAGGATATAGTTTGGAGGTGCAGCTGTCAGCGTTAGCTGATAGATTGGGTGTTGGGGGTGGGGAAATGAGAAGAATCAAGGACAATGCCAAGGGTTTTGGCCTGAGCCCCAAGAAAGGATAGGCCCTTGAGGAGTGAGTTGGCCCCCTGGCAAGTTGGTAGAGCCAACACCAGAGAACCCCAGTGTCCTGGGCAGCCCGGGACTCCTGCCCCTCCCCCACCACCTGCCTTAAGCAGAACCTCAGCTCCAAGTCCAGCAGCCTGGCTGCCAAGTTCCTTGAAATGACCCTTACACAGGGCAATGTCCCAGAGCCCCGTGCCTAAGAATACCTTGGGAGTTAATCACCTGTGCACTTGGCAGCCTGTATTCCGGAAGCTGAATCACTGGCAGCCTTGACCAACAGAGTATGAATTAGTGGCTAATTATAATTGCCACCAATTAACCACCATCGCCAAGGCTCGGTTAGTTTCCACAGTTCGATTATCACCTGGGTGCAGTAGCCTCTGATCCCATGAGGGAGCGGGAGCTCCTCTGATCATGGAGCTTTAACTGACCTGGTAACCCCAACACGACTCGGGACTGTCTGTTCTCCGGCACGTAGACAGTTCCTCATCTAGGGAGGCAGTCAAGGGCAGCTGGTGGAGAGCTGCCAGACACGGCTCGCTCTGAGGACCCGAGTTCAAGGAAGGAACTGGTTTATTTTGCAGAAGCTGAAGCCTCAAACTTCAGGACTTGGGGAGCTGTGTCAAGTTGAAGGATAGCCACTACTACTTTAGTATATTATTGCCCAGCACTGCAGACACCCATCAGAGGAGTTCAGTTCTGCCACAGTCATTAAGGGCCCATCGTAGACCAAGAGCCCTCTCTTGCATTATTTAATTGAATCCTCAAAACTTTGTGAGGTGACTCCTTACTATTTCTGTTTCCACCTGAACGAGGATGAGCTATTTGCCCAAGGTTAGATGCGCAAATAGAATTCCTACCCAGGTGCGTCCAGTGGTTAACTGAACATTTATTCTTTGTGCCAGGCACTATTCTAAGGACTGGGGATAGAGCAGTGAAAAAGATTGCCCTTATAAAGTTTATATTTCAGGGGGAGAGACAAACAGAAACAAACAAACATGGTATCGGAGAGTGCTGGGCTCTGTGAGGAACCAAATGCAGGGGGAAGGGGTAGAGGGTCATGGGGGAGGGGTGGACAGGACAGCCCCACTGGGCAGGGGCGTGTGAGCAGAGACTGCATGAGGAGCCCCACGTGAAGATCTGGGGAATGAGCCTTCCAGGTAGTGGAAACAGCAAATGCACAGTCTCGTAGCAGGAACCTTCTAGAAGGGGAGGTCACAGAGTTGGCCAGGGGCCTTGTAGGTCATGGTCGGGTTTGGATTTAGTTCTAATGGTGACAGATTTCAGATTTCCTTCTTCGCCAAGGAAAGAAGAGGGCACAGTGCCAGGAGCCCTGACTGGAGTCGCATCTCCAGACATGGAGACGTTTCAGGGGTTGGGGAGGAGCGCAGGAGGGAGGGTCGGAGTCTGGAGGGAGGGAGACCTGAGTGAGTGAGAGCAGCTCTGTTCCTCCTGCTCCCCAGCTTCAGACCGGTGGTTCTCAAACCTCACTGTGCATGTTCGGATCCGGACTTCCAGGTCCCATCGCAGACCTACTGAATCAGAATCTCTAGGGGGTGGCGCTCGTTGGGTCAGAATAACACCCCTCTTGTCCTCACCGGAGTTTGGACCAGTTGAGAGATTTCAGAGGAGTGAGGTGGATGGAGCTCCAGTGCCAGCTGTTGGCTGAAGAATCTGGCGGTGGTTTGGCTGGTGGAGTGTGCTGACGCGCCCCACCCTGGGGAACCTCGCTGGCCCCTGAGGTCACCGCGTGGTGGAGTGGCCAGGCAGGCAGGCGGGTCCTTGAGAGCAGAGAGAACACCAGACTGGTCCCCGTCAGATATGGCACTCTCCTGGCGGCGGATGGGAAGAAGCGAAATGGATGCAGTAGAGACGTTTGTAGATAAACTCCAACAGTCTTGGAGCCTCTGGATATGAGGGGTGAGGGAGAAGGGGGACCGTGGGCCTTCCTGGTCTCTGGGTGGTGTCATGTTCCGAGGTGGGGCACCCGAGAGGGTCCTTTATGCCACACAGGGGCCCACTGTCTGGCGGATGGGAAGAGGTTTAACAACTTAGGCTGGTAATGGAATCAGTCTTGGTAGAAGAGGGGCATTTTGCATAGGATCCTGTCCACTGTTGTGCTGCCTGAAGACAGAAATCCCCCTAACAGGGACAGTTCATTTGACCCCTTCCAGATGCCCCTTCCTTACTAACCAGATATCAGCGTATCCTTACAAGCTTCTGGGCTAAGTAACTAGAGCTTGGACAGACCGCCTTTGGGTAAATTTTGATAGATTAATTTTTCCAATTATAAAATTAACCCAAATTCATTATGGATAATTTTGAAAAGGCAAAAAAAATCACATTTGACATATTTCTTTCTTTTTTTCCATGCAGTGTTTTTTTTCCCTTAGTTGGGACCCTATGGCATATTATCAAGTCAATCGTCTATGCATTTTTAAAATTTGTTTCATTGCATAAGCAATTTTTTTTCAGATATTATAACTTTTCTTAGGAATCGTTTTTTATTTATTTATTTTTTTTGGTGAGGAAGATTAGCCCTGAGCCGACATCTGTGCCAGTCTTCCTCTACTTTATATGTGGGACACCGGCCACAGCATGGCTTGATAAGTGGTACACAGGTCCGCACCCAAGATCCAAACCCATGAACCCCAGGTCGCCGAAGCAGAGCACGTGAACCCAACCACAACACCACCGGGCTGGCCCTTAGGAATCTTTTTTTATGGCTTATTTTACATTGGCTGGTTGTGCTATAGTTTACTTAACTAATCCCCTGGTGTTGGAAACCTCCAGATTGTTTCCACTTGTATGTTATAAATGCAGCAATATGACCTTTATTTACTGAGTATTATCCATATTTAGGATTGTTTTCTTAAGATAAGAATTCCAGAAATGGAATTTTGGGCTGAAGAGGATACACATCTTTTTCCCATTTTTTTTTTTATTGTGGTAAAATACATGTAACATAAAATTTAGCGTCCTATCCATTTTTAAGTGTACAGTTCACTGGTATTGAGCACATTCACATTGTTTTGCAGCCGTCGCCACCATCCATCTCCAGAACTCTTTTTATCTTACAAAACTGAAACTGCCCCATTCAACACTAACTCCCCACTCCCTTCCTCCCCATGGCCCCTGGTAACCACCATTCTGCTTTCTGACTCTATGATTTGGGAGATGCACGTTTTTTAAAGTTTTTGATACATATTGTCAAATTGCCCTCTGGGCGGTTTATGTCAATGCACTCTGCCACCAGTGGTGTCTGCAAGCACCCGTTTTCATCACCTCTTTAACAGATTTGGGATTTAAAAAAATGATCGTTGCTAATTTGGTGAAAAATACCACCTTGCTTTGGAATTTTTTTGTGTGTGTGAGGAAGATCAGCCCTGAGCTAACATCCATGCCAATCCTCCTCTTTTTGCTGAGGAAGACTGGCCCTGAGCTAACATCTGCTGCCAATCCTCCTCCTTTTTCTCCCTTTTTCTCCCCAAAGCTCCAGTAGATAGTCGCATGTCATAGTCGCACATCTTCTAGTTGCTGTATGTGGGACACCACCTCAGCATGGCTGGACAAGCGGTGCATCGGTGTGCGCCCAGATCTGAACCTGGGCCACCAGTAGCGGAGCGCGTGCACTTAACCGATAAGCTACAGGGCCAGCCCCCTGGACTAATATTTTTAATAGTTGCACAGTATTCCATCCAGGAAGCTGTGCCATGGTTTCGGTGACTGGTTCTCGTGGGCTTGTGCATTAGGACGTTTCCAGGGTTTGGGTTTTAGCAGTTACACGGTGCTGCAAAGCTAAGCTCATTCTCTGCCTGTGTGTTTCTCTCTTTCAAGGGCGCTATGACGCGCGGGCCCGAGTCCTCGTTTGCCACATGACCTCCCTCCTCCAAGTGCCCTTGGGGGAGCTGGATCTCCTTGAAGAGACGTTCCTTGAGAGCCTGAAGGAAACCAAAGAGGAGGAATCTGAGTAAGGGAGCCCTGTGACCCCAGCCCCGCTTGTCCGGAATCGAGGACTTCCACTTGATTGCACTTTTCAGATAACAGAGTCCCCTCTTCCCTCCCCCCATTAAGAGAGGGTGCAGTGAGGTGGAAGGACCGGTGGGCAGAGAGTCCCAGTGCAGCCCTGACTTGCTGTGTGGCCTTAGCAATTCATTTCCCCTCTCTGGGCCTCCATCCTCGTTTGTAGGAAATGGGGATTGAATGGATGATTGCTAAGGACTGTGAGTCTGTGACTTTAACATTCCTTGGCCCCGACACCTCGCTCCACCTCAGGCTCTTATACCATCTTGTCCATGGGCTGGAGTGGCCTGGGTTCAAATCCCACCTCTGACACCCATCTGCTTTTTCACCTTGGGCAGGTGCCTCCTGCAAGCCACACATTCCTATCTGTAAAATGGGAATGAGGATAGAGCCCTCCCTGGGTCATTGTAAGAAACGACATGATCATATTACAGCACTCAGCCCAGGGCTGACACGTAGCTAGCGCTTGGTAGATAGCTGGCGCTCCCTGCCCCCACGTGCCCCTGCACCTGCCAGCCATAGAGCAGCTTTGCTCTCTGTCTGTGGTCGGGATCGTGTAGAGGAGTGATACTGGTAACTCAGCCAGAGCTAACCTACTCCCAGGGCAGTAAATCAATCCCAGGCACGGCCCAATTGCGGGCTCCTTGCACCAGACACGTCTCCCAGCCTTGCGTTTCGTTCGGCCTCAATGGCTTCCTTTGAGCAGCCATGTTGGACCAGTTCAGCCAGCAGGGAATTTAGTGCTGAAGCCAAGTTCAGACCTGGAGCCGCCTTCCTGCCAGGGTTTGTAGGGCAAAGGGAAGGGATGTTTCCTTAAAGGAGGAAACTTGTTTCTGTTGAAATAACCTGAAAACAGGCTTGCTTTGACTCCCAGAGCTGTGTCAATAAAGAAACACCTGGATCCAGGCCGGTTACCATAATCACAAGGGCTGCCCAGGTTCTTGGGATGCATTGGACATTTGTAGTATCTTATATGCCTTGAAATGAAAGAAACTCTTAGTTATTGTTTGAAAGTCTTATTATCAGAAAGAAGCATATTGTCCAGAGGATTTGTTCTGCTAATACCAGTAATGCCAGATCAGGGAATGTGTAAAACAGAAGTTCTCACACAGCCCAGCTCTGCCACTTACCAGCTGTGTGATCTTGGGCAAGTTGTTTAACTTCTCTGGGCCTCAGTTTCCTCACCTGCAAAATGAGGATAATCATAGCATGCTCCTCACAAGGTTCTTCTGGGGCTCAAATGAATTCATACATGTGAAGTGCTTTGAACAGGCCTCAAACAGAGTAACTAATTGATAAACATCATTACTGCTGTAATACTGTTACCATTGCTGTTATAACTATGCGTGGGCCCTCTCCTCAGAAAAATACTCCACCTGTGTAATTTTTGTATTCAGTTTTAGGGACTTGGGAGACCTCCCAGGTTCTATCTATGGTCTTTGGAAGAGTCTGAGACCCGGGAAAGCATAGTGACTGTTCAGCCAGGAGACTTGGTTCTCAGTTTGATTCTGCTAAGTCTCTGTGCGGCCCTGGGCATGTTGCTTTCCCTCTCTGGGCACCAGCACCAGTTTTTTCACCTATGCAAGTAAAGGATTGAATTATACGTAGGTTTCCTTTAACTCTAAGGTTTTGTGTTTCTGCGAGATGAGCTTATCCCTCAGCATCCCGAGACAATCCTTTGCAGCTGGGGTTCGGAGTGTGCTGTACCCCCTTTCTGTTCTTGGGTCCCTTTCTGAGCCCTGAGGCCATCCAAACTTCCCCCACTTGTTTGGTGACTTCACTTCTCTGTGCCTCAGTTTCCTGATCTCTAATGTGGGGATAATGGTGTATCTCCAACCTAGGGTTGTTGAGAGATTAAATTAATTAATACGTGTGGAAAGCTTGGAGCAGTGCCTGGCACATAGTAGGTCTCAGTAAACATGAGCTCATGCCCTCCTGAGGCTCGATACTGATGACATCAGAATAACCTTGTCAATGTCCTACTCTTATTGAGTGCTTACTAGATGCCCGCACAAGATGTCATCTCATCTGGTGCTCATAACAGTCCCCCGAGGATTTTGCAGAGGAAGAAACAGAAAGTCAGAGGGGTGACATAACTCTCCCAAAGTCACACAGCTGGTCAGTGGCACCATCTGATTCAACCACCATATCCAGTCTGAACGTCACTTAGTGCATTCCTCAAGGCGTGATTGACAAGCCCAGGTTCCCTCCTTAATTCTGAAGAAAGCACTCAAGATAATTCTTTTGTGGGGCTTTCTGAGCTTTTACTAGAAAAGTATCTTCCAGAGATAAGCTCTCCTTCTTTGTCAGCTGGAGAAGGTGATTTTAAAAAAGAAGGTGGTGGTGGTGAGGATGATAAGGATAGACAACACCCTCTCGTGGGAGATAAGATAGCAGAGAGTGAAATTTATTTGTGGATCCAGGAGACGGGCAGAGTAGGGGTCAGTCTCTTCACTTGGTATCTGTGGCTTCAGCCGGGGATTTGACTGAAATCTCCGTTTTGGCTTCAGCCTCTGTCTTGGAAGGCTGACGCCGAACTCAAGGTCATTTCTGATGTCCCACAAGCTGAGTGTGGCCAATGACTGCATGATGGCACGGATTGCCCTGGTATCTAACCAGCGGACAAAGTCAGTAATAGGAACAGGGCATCATCTGATTTTAGTGTCGTGCTCTGAAATCTCCCTTCCAAATCCAGGAAGCATTGTACATGTAGCTCAGAGCGAGCGTCTCCTCTCGTGCTTTTGATCTTGAAATTCAGTCAGACAACTGAAGTAATTGCAGGAGTGAAATGCTGTGATAATTAATGATGACTGGGAAAGCTATTTATTTTGTGTACAAAACAGTTATTAAGAACCTTCAAGTACTTAAATAGGGCAACCAACTGGCAGTTCAGATGAACATTGAGAATACCTTATCTAAATAACATTAGGAAAAATATTATATTCTTTTTCATTCAGCAAGTATTGATAAACATTTAAATAATAATACAAAGCAGAATACTAAAGATGAGAACATATCATCCATTTGGTCTTTGTAAAAGTGATTTGATATAATAGCACTCATGCATTTAAATAAAACAGCCTTGAAGAACTGTATTTACTTTTTAGTTATTTTATTCCCTTTAGGCTATGAGTTTCCCCCTCCACAGACTCAGTTAAAAGTGGTGACTGTCTAGTATCATAGATGTGCAGATGTCACTGTAGGAACAACCTAGAAACAGACGGGGCTGAGAAATGTCAAGGGCACCAACTCAAGAATTTGACTGTGTTCTTAATAATTAATATGTAGTAATCATTAAAATTTTATAACATTTCATATTTGTCCTAATATCCTGAAAGTTTCACTCTGGATGGTGATCGGCCTATACTCTGGCGAAGTATTTTATTTAGCCAAAATGTCCATTCCATGCCCCTCTGGTTTTCATAGATGTGGACAGTGGTGGGGGAAGATGTTCATGTCCAGCCCTTGTTGGAATGATTAGGTTCTGTTCCAGAAAGATCTTCTGAGCACCCTCCTGGTCCCAAGTCCAGGGCAAGCTGCCGCGGGTGCAGGGCAGGGAAGACTCCGTCTATGCCTGAAGGTTTGGCCCAAGGATTCTCAAACTTGAGATACAGCAGATCCCTGGAGGAACTTGTTATGGTGGTTTCCTCACCCTCAGGCCCGAGCTTCTAGCTCAGGAAGCTGTGCTTTTAACAGCTACCCCCTGGGGATTCTGATGCAGTTGACGAAAAAGCCCACCATTTGAAAATCGATGGTCTAGAATTCCACGCTAACACAGTACAAGGGTTAGAGGGGCACAGAGTCTGGGCATTTAGGCAACCTTGGGGCTCAGGCCAACTTCTCGGAGGAGGTGACTCTTAAAGGATGAGTACTGTTTAGCCAGAGAAAGGAAGGTGAGAAGGTCCTTGGCATCCAGGGGCCAGCAGGAACATAGGTACTGAGGTGTAGGCCGTTCAATGTTTCTGGAGAGTAAAGGGTAAATCAGGAAGTGATGAGGCGTTGAAGGAGACAGGAACCAGGTCACAGAGGGCCTGAATGTCATGCTGGAGAGGTGACACTATCCTCAGGGCAGAGGGAGGGCTAGGAGGGAGGGAGACAGTCGTGGTTATACTTCCCCTCTTGACATTGGTCACTATGGTGGTGCTGTCATCATCCTTCCATTTCCAGTTCCTAAGTGAGAAAATTGAGGCTCAGAAAAATTGGGTGACCCAGCAAGATCGTGGCAGAGCTGGGCTCAAACACCTCTGCTCCAAATTTCCAGGCTATTTCCCAGGTGGTGTTTTTTGAGTGATATTCTGCTGATTCACAGAGCCAGCTGTTTGTCCCATTACGTGTTCCTATTGCACGTCCTTAGCAGCTTGAATTTTTCCTCAGGCCTTGAACTCTGCCGTAAGCAACTATTTTCAGCCTTTCTGTTTGCATGGAATGATGCTAGCAACTAAGGTCCAAAGTATATCTCCAGCCTGTGTTTAGGAGGAAGTTATCGTAATAATGGAAGGAATGATAATGGCAACAAACATGTTGAACGATTACAATATGCCAGTCACTCTATGTGGGTAATCTCACTTAGTCTTCACAGTACCCCTGGGAATTAAGTACTATTATTACACCCACTTGTTGGTGAGGGAACTCAGATGGAACAAGGAATTGGTACATGGTCAGAAAGTTAGTAAGTGGATCTATGCATCAGAATAGGCTAGGTTTTTCTACAGTGACAAATGACTTCCAAATCTCAATGGCTTACAGCAACAAAGGGGCATTTCTTGTTCAGACTCTATGCCCTTTGCCGGTTGGCTGTGGCTTTGGTCCATGCTGTCTTGGTCCTGGGTCCCAGATTGACAGAGTGACCTCTGTCTGGAAGTTGCTGGCCTCAGGGCAGAACAAAAGGAGACTGATGAGGCCCTGCACTGACTCTTGCTGGAAGTGGCACACAGCCCTTCCTCCTCCAGTTCATTGGCTACAGCAGGGCACGGGACCACTCAGTTCAACAGGGCAGGGGTGTAGAATCTCTCTGTAGGGAGGCCCAGTACTGAATATCCGGTGAATGGTGGTACGCCACATCTGCAGAGGTAGGAGTTATGCAAACATAAATCCTGCGTTTACTGGGTTTGAACCCTGACATCAGAACCCATGCTCTTAGTCGCCGTCCTGCCTTGCACTTGGCTGGATGCATGCGGTTCAGCCTCCTCCCACGCGACTGATGGCATGAATTTCAGTCGTGGAAAGCCAGCCCCCGAGATGTGCACGGAGATGTTTATCTTTGGTTTCCACTTCTCTGTAGTGAAGCCACTGGGAAGTGCTGTGCTCTTCACCCGGGAGCTGCTTAGGAAAACGCTGGTTGGGGTGAGCTGGCGGAGAACCAAAAGTGTAGCAGATCCCCAGATGCCCAACTCAGATCCCCTTTCTTTTGATGACTGGAGGATGGACTGTTTCTCACTATCACGCGTGGTTCATGAGGAAAGAGATGGGAGGAAACAAGTATTGGTTGAGTCCTGCATTGTTCTGCTCACTGATAACGCAGTACCCAGAGGTGCCAGCACGTAGTCCATGCTCAAAAAAGTTTGTTGATTGAGTGTATAAAGAAGGACTGAATTTAATCTTTACAAACCAACGACCTTAGGAGGTGGGTGTTATTATCCTCATTTTACAAAAGAGGAAACTGAGGCTCAGAGAGATACAGTCTCATGATGACAACAGCCACCGTGTTAGTCATTGCTTGCAGTGTGCCAACCATTATGCTAAATGCTTGACGGGCATTCTCTTCTTTGATCCACACAGCCCTCAGGAGGTGGGTACTGTTATCCCTGAACTCGTCTGTAATATGGGGACAGTAATAAAACTGCTCCTGGGATAAGATAAACCGCACGGAGTACAAAGCACAGTAGCTGGCATGTGGGAAGTCCTCAGTAAATATTGACCCTGCCTGTTCCTTTATCGTCACCATCATCTGCTATCACTCGATGCATTGAGCTGTTGTCCAAACTCCAGCTTCAGTTCAGAGTTCGCGCTCCTAATGACCACACCCTCCCAGCCTCCGTCTCTCGTCCTGCTCCTTATTGCCCCAAAGTACAGAGGGCTGACTGTCCCACAGGAAAACGGGGCTTCGTGACGCCCCAGAGCACTCACCGCGGCCATTCTCAGGATTCTCCTGACCCCAATTCACTCCAAATGCTTCCCTTTTGCTACATTTTATAGCTTTTCAATTTCAAGTCTAAACGATCCTAGGTCAGGATCATTCCTAAGGCCGAGGTCTCCAGTACAGACACTTCTCTAACCCATCTTGGAAATGATTATTCTGAAGGAAGCTGATTTCCAAATGTCCCAGAGGGAGGTGGGTCCAGATGGCAGGAGTGGGGCCAAGGGTAGGAAGAGGGAGGTGATGGGGTCTGGTTCTATTTGGTACTTGTTCTGGGCCCATCTATTTAAAGATATTTTTGTGCTTCTTTTGCTATTATTATTATTTTTTTGTCTTTTCATTATTCAAATTGCAACCCTGTTAGGATGGATCTGTTGGGTAAGTAGCACATCCCACATACTGGGATTCCCCAGCTGGGTTTTAGAATGTTTTCAGCTTTTTAAAACCATCAATGGGCCCAGGGTGACTTTGGTACCTTGCTCTGCATGACAGAGTACCCAGCGTTGATCCCAGTTTGGGAGTTGGCGAGGCGGGGAGGTCTCAAGGGGTCCTAGGCACAGCCAGGCCTAAAGCCCAACCTCTTCTCCCCCAGAACGGCCGAGGCATCCCGGAAGAAGAAAGAAAACCGGAGGAAATGGAAGCGCTATCTCCTGATAGGCCTAGCAACTGTCGGAGGCGGGACAGTGATCGGTAAGGCCAGCTCCAGGTGAGATGAGACAGTGGCACACTGGCCAGGGCAGTGCCGAGCGAGGGGTGACGCCAGGCTGGGAGCGAGAGTGGAGCGTGCAGGGGGATCAGCTGGGAGGTGCCCCGTCTGCAGTGTGTTCGTTAGTATCGTTAGAAGCGTCCACAGAAGGCAGTGGGCTGCTGATGGCCACATCCTCACTCCCACCTTTACCCACCACGGGCTACTTTCCTTGCAGGCGTGACGGGGGGTCTGGCTGCCCCTCTTGTTGCCGCTGGAGCTGCGACAATCATTGGCAGTGCCGGGGCAGCCGCTCTGGGCTCCGTGGCCGGCATAGCCGTCATGACCTCGCTGTTTGGAGCAGCTGGAGCTGGCCTGACAGGTAAGGTTCAAAAGGAGTGGTGGGCTGTGAGGGCTTTTCAGCCAGGGTGGCCCAGCTGCTAGAGGACATGCCCAGATTCTCACCAGTGACAGTTCCCCAGGGGACAGAGGAGGACATGGCTTTCTCACTCTGGTCCCAGCCCTGCCGCAGGCTTCACACAGAACTGGGCCAGCAGCTTGGCATGGGTTGGAGTAAGGGCTGAGTGTGAGAAACTGGACCTTGTGTAGACTTCCTGAGAAGGGTCTGATTGGACCTGCTGGCCACCATCCAGGAAGTTTCCAGGCAGGCCACCTCAGAGACACCTGGGCTTCCTCATGCAAGAGAGCACATGGCTACCCTTCTTTTACCAGCATCTACACCTGGGGGAGTTCTTCCAGATCATAGGTGTCAACAGCCCCCCTATCACACAGATTCCTAGTCCACTCCCCAAGTTGTGTCTGTCACTCCCCATGTTGAGAATCTTGCTCAGTTTGATCCACTTTTACTGACACGAGTGTGTTATACCCCTAACTTTTGTGGGCAGGAAAAAAGATATAGAACCAACGGAGTCAGGACAGAGTGGTGGTTATGAGCCTGGGCTCTGAGTTCCAGCCCCAGCTCTGCCACTCAGGGGCTGAGGCCTTTGGAAGCCTCTTACCCTCATCTATAATCAGGGATAATAATGGCACCTGTGTTAATGAGTTCAAAACAAGATGCATTTGTTCAGGGACAGGGCACATGGTTGGCGCTCATGTGTGAGTGGGCACACAGACAGCCGCTCTGAGTAGCATTCCCCAGAGCCCCAGTCACCTCCATTCTCATTTTTTATCTGGGTCTTCAGGCTACAAGATGAAGAAGCGTGTTGGGGCCATTGAAGAGTTCACGTTTCTGCCTCTAACGGAGGGCAGGCAGCTGCACATCACCATCGCCATCACGGGGTGGCTGGCGTCTGGCAAATACCGTGAGGACCAGGGGCAGAGCGGAGAGGGATGCAGAGGGTGGTGGGCGTTGGCTGAGCTAGGCCTGCTGCTGTGGGCCAGACCCTGGCCTAGGCTCTTGCCCATGTATGTCTTTTGAGGGTGAGTAGGGGAGCCTCATTTTGCAGAGGAGGAAACCAAGGCTCAGAGAAGTGAAGTCACTTCATCCCACATCCGTCTACTAACCCATCCATCCATCCATCATCCATCCATCCAACTATCCATCCATCCATCCACCTACCCATCCACCATCTACCCATTCATCCATCCACCCATCCATCCATCTGTCCATCCATCCGTCTGTCCATCCATTCATCCATCCATATGTTCATCCATCCATCCACCCACCCATCCATCTACCTATTCATCCATCTATCCATCCATTTATCCATCTACCTACACATCCATCCATCCATCCATCCAACCATCCATCAACCAGCCCGCCCATCCACCCATCTATCCATCCATTCAGCAGTATTTGGAGAGTACTGTACACACCATGTGCCAGATACTGAGCCAGGCCCTAGGAACTCAGTGGTGAGCATGAAAGTCATGGCCTCTGTTCCCATGGAACATATGGTCCAAGACAGAGGACAGACCACTAAGCAGTAATTACAGGGAAGTTTAACAGATGGCACAATAGGGGAAGCACAAAGTGTTTCTGAGGAATAAGGGAAAGGTTCCTGGAGGAAGTGACATTTAGGCTAAGGACTAGCTGGAAATTAGCTGGGTAAAGAAGGATTAAGAAGTGTAAACCAAGCAAACGGGCAGCATATACAAAGGCCCAGTGGTGCAAAAGAAGCACAGGACAGCTGGAACGGGGAGCAAGAAGACAGGAGTTTGGGCAGGGCCAGATCACACTGGAGCTTGTGAGCTGTGGTGAGGAGTTTGGATTTATCTTCAGAGCAAGTGGAAGATAGCAAAGGACTTTAAGTGAGAGATCAGTACATCTTGGCTGTGTGACCTCAAGCAAGTTACTTAACCTCTCTGTGCCTCAGCTGCTTCATTTGTGAAGTGGAACAAATTATTCCTGCCTTTCAGGTACTTACAAAGATTAAGTTAAGGTAACTCGTGGCAGGCACCTGGTTTCTAATTGGCACACACATTAGTTCCCTTTGCTGCTCTAATTTGAACGTGTGTTTTAGGGGGATTCTAACCAGGGTGGCATTGAGGACTCACTGCCTGGCTCACTTTTGCAAGTGCCCGGTGTGAGGCTCAGGAAACAGTTCATCTCTCAGAGAGAGAACAGGGTGGGCCTTGGAATCCAGAGCAATCTGGCCGGACACACGTGCTCAGAGGCCCCTGGGTTCCCAAATCCGTGGGCTCTGAGGGTGGACGCTGCAGCTCTTCTCAGTGACACAGAAGACAGCAAGAGAGAAAACGTCCAGGCTCTGTTGAAAGGCGCTGCAGGAGTCTTACTGGCTTGGGACCGCGCCCCGTCCCCACAGCGGGCTCTGATGTTAACTAAGCCCCTAGTGCGTGCCTGCCCCAAGTCAGGCAAGTACCCACAACACAGACTTGACGGGCCTCACCGCGTGTGATCCTCACATCCACCCTCCGAGGTGGGGCCGCTCTCATCCTGATCCCGCGGAAGAGGAAGCCTGGAGGGGTCACGTGGCAGACGCAGGATTCACCCCCGGGTCTCCTGACCCGAAGAGCGTGGGTTTCCCGTCATCTGTTTCATTATGCCGGGCTCCACAAAAGCAAGACAGGAGGGAAGGGGCAGGAGCAAAAGTCGGAGCAAAGGAATTTGCGATTCTGACCAGTATGGACAGCAAATCCCTTATCTTTGTTTCACCCCCATTTGCCCCAGGTCAAAGGTCAAGTTCATTTTTGGGGAGGAAATCTTCAGGGTTCTCCTCCCGCAGCCTGGTGCAGTATGCTCCCCAGCAGAGAAGGTGGGTAAAGGAGATGTACCCAAGCTGGATTAAGTTCAGGAGGGCAATGTCACCTATTCCTGTCCCCTTGCAGCCAGGAGAGAAGCCTTAGTGTCGTCAAGGCTTGCTTCTGTGCGCGATGGGAGTCAGAGGACTTTCTTCAGCCCTCCTTATTAAATAGGATCATGTATAATGATGATAGCAGCTTTGTGGCTAACCCCTTGCTGTGAGCCAGGCGCTAACCCACGCATTTTGCACCCATCAGCTTGCTTAGTCCCTCAGGTCAAGCCAAGGGGGCAGGCGTCATTGTCACCCCATTTCACGGATGAGGAAATCGAGGCCTATAAGGGTTGTGCAGGGTCACCTAGCTAGTCAGGGACAGGGGCGGGACTCGCCCCCATTCTGTCTGGCTCCGTGGCCCATGTTCTTGGCCACAGAGCGGTACGGTGCAGTGCAGTGCAGTGCTTTACAGTTTATATAATGCTTTTCATGCAGCATCTCACATGATCCCACCACACCTGTGAGTTATTGTCCCATTCTAACAGGTATAGAAACCAAGGCTCCAAAGGGCAGCGTGCCTTGCTGTGAGTCATGCAACCAGGAAGCTGCCGAGCTGGGTCCAGAGCCGGCGTCACAGCATCACACACACACACAATCTCTCTCTCAGTCTCTCTCAGTCTCTCTCAGTCTCTCTCAGTCTCTCTCAGTCTCTCTCAGTCTCTCTCAGTCTCTCAGTCTCTCAGTCTCTCTCTCTCTCTCTCTCTCTCTCACACACTGTGCCCACAGCCTATCTCAGGGCTGGCCGTCTCCTTCTCCATAATTAGACACAGTTAACCCCTGAGTGTTACAGAGCTGTGACAGGGTCCCTGCAGAGGAGGAGGGAGCAGCCCCAGGTGGTCTTTGTGTCAACACAGGCCCACAGCTAAGGACGAGGCCTTTGGGTCAGCCAGGTAGACATCTAGCTGACGTCCAGAACCCGAAGCCTGTGGGAAGCTGACTCCACTCGTCCGTTCATTCATGGTGTTTCCTGAGTGCTTACTACGTGCCGCATCACGGGCTCTGGGAAACTAGAGCTTGGCAGGCAGACTGTGGGAGAGGCATGCATGAAACAGGTGATACAAACATAAATGTACAACTGCACACTGGGATGCGAAGTCAGGCGGAAGGTGCAGGGTGCATTTGATCTGTCAGAGGGCCAGGAAGGCTTCCCGTGGAGGAGGCGCTTGAACTGCAAGCTGAAGGGCAAGTGAGAGTGAACTTGGGGAAACGATGCTTTAGGCAGGGGTGGGAGGAGATTAATGTTTTGAAAAGGTCACTCAGGCCACAGGCAGAAATGCATGGGGCCAGGTAAGGTATCCCTCTGTGTACCCCACTGCCCCTTTCCTTCTCCCAGAGTAGAGTGACCACATGATGTTGACACGTCTCTCTCCCTCCGCGGACGGGGAGCTCTTTGTCTACATGGCTCAGCCTCCTCCGCTGTCAAATGGGGCTGATTGTAGTACCCACTTCAGAGGCTATGAGGGGATTAAGTGAAAGAGTCCATGTGAAGAGCCCTCAGCGCAGAGCTGCCCCGCACCCAGTACACACTCACTAAATGTTTCTGTGATGATCATTATCTGTATCCTCAGGGTCAGGCTCCGGGCCTGGCATAGTCCACTTACCCAGCTAATGTTTGCAGTAGAGTGAATGAATGAATGAATGAATGAACAACTCAAAAACGTGTTTCTGGAGGGTAAAGCGTAAGTTAGGAAGTGATGAGGAGGCAGGGACCGGGTCACAGAGGGCCTGAGTGTCATGCTGGAGAGGTGACACTATCCTCAGGGCAGAGGGAGGGCCAGGAGGGAGGGAGAGAGGGAGGGAGACAGTTGTGGTTATACTTTCCCACTTGATGTTGGTCACTATAGTGGTGCTGTCGTCATCCTTCCATTTCCAGTTCCTAAGTGAGAAAATTGAGGCTCAGAAAAATTGGGTGACCCAGCAAGATCATGGTAAAGCTAGGCTCAAACACCTCTGCTCCAAACTTCCAGACTATTTCCCAGGTGGTGGTGTTGAATGAGATTCTGCTGATTCACAGAGCCAGCTGCTTGTCCCATTACGTGTTCCTATGGTACGTCCTCAGCAGCTTGATGCCAAAATTACTGCAGGGTGAGAGAAATAACACTTTACGTATATAATAGTTTGAATACCCAATTCTTACAACTACTCTATGAAAGGAGAGAAATATTAATCACCCTACTTCACAGATAAGAAAAGTGAGGCTCAGGGTGGGGTAAGGATGTGCCCAAAGTCACCTGGCTACTAATGAATGCAGGAGTTGGGGCTCGGACCCCAGCCTGCTGCCTCACAGAGTGGCAGTGTGCTCCGTCTGCTTTGCTGCCACTCATTGGCAGGGGTGGGCCTCCTGTCCTCCCACCAAGAGTGGTCCCCTGTCATGGCCTGTCTGGGAAAGTGGGGTGGGGCCTCCTCTATCACAGACAGGAGAGACCCCAGCCACCTGTGTTCTCCCCAGGCACCTTCAGCACTCCGTGGGCTGCCCTGGCCCGCAGCCGCGAGCAGTACTGCCTGGCCTGGGAGGCCAAGTACTTGATGGAGCTTGGCAATGCCCTGGAGACCATCCTCAGTGGTCTTGCCAACATGGTGGCCCAGGAAGCCCTCAAGTACACAGTGTTGTCTGGTAAGCCTCACCTTGCCCGCTGCCCCCACCCCACACTGGTACCATCCCTTTGCATGCCCAAGGCCCCTGTGAGCTAGGCACTCTGCTAGGCCCTAGGAACATGGAGAGATTAAGGCTGCATTCCTGTCTGTGAGAAGTTTCTGGTCTTTGTGGGGAGGAGACAGGTAAAACAGCCAATTGCACTATCAAATTATGGTATCAGCTAGTTATTGCTGCATAAGAAGCTACCCCAAAACTCAGTGACTTAAAATAAGTTATTTATCATAATAGCTCAGGAGTCATGAGGCCTCATTTAGCTGATCTTTTCTGGGCCTGCTCATGCATCTGTGGGTCAGCTGACCGTCCACTGATACAGGCTAGCCTTGTCTGGGGCAGCTAGGGCAACTCAGCTCTGCTCCATTTGTCTCTCATTCTCTTCCTGGGATCATCAGGCTAGCCCACACGCATGGTAGAAATGCACGAGAGGATGCACAGTCCATTTCAAGCCTCACATCTACTGACATCTCCTTGGCCAAAGAAAGTCACATGGCTGAGCCGGGGGTGGATGGGCAGGGCGGGGCAGGGGGCACTGCAGAGGTAGGAACCAAAGTGGGAGGATACAGGGTGGAGTGACAAATTGGGGCCATCTTTGGAATCTCACACTTTCCTTTTGTGCTTAACAAAAGGAATCTAGTCCATGTATCAGAAGCATGTGAGCTTCAGTTTTCTTCTTTGCTATTTAGCAGTTGGCAACATTTGGAAAACTTACAGATTCCAAGACTCTGCGTGCATTCACTCAGGTATCCATTAGCCAGCCAATCACTTCTTTACAAAGACCCGCATTGCCTTAATCACTGCTATGCCACCTCCAGGCATTGTGGCTGCCCTGACCTGGCCAGCCTCACTCCTTGCTGTCGCCAATGTCATCGACAACCCCTGGGGGGTGTGTCTCCATCGATCAGCAGAGGTTGGCAAGCACCTCGCCCACATCCTGCTCTCCCGGCAGCAGGTACCTGGGGATGGCTGTGGGTGGGGGGCAAGAGGGGAAATGAGGGGCTGACTTGTGCATAGACATCAGCCCTGGAGACAAGCAGCCCAGTGGCTTTGGGGGAGTGGGTGGTCTTCCCTGCCCCTCCAGTTCAAGTCATGAAAGTGTCCTAGGTTGGACCAGTAAGAATTATAGACTGTGCATCTCTAGCAGGTAATTAGGTGAAGACTGAATAACAGAGGCATCTGCAAGTAAGGACAAAGCCGGGTGTTCCTTCCTAGAAATACGGAGCTACCATCTGAGCACATCTTCAGTGGTCCAAATACCATGTAAAATGCTTAAGCCACCCAAAGTAACAGTGGCTTAAACAAGATGAAAGTTTCTTTCTCATGGGGAAGCCTAGGAAGGCAGTCTTGCACTAGAAGGGTGTGCTGTGGTGAAGAGGCCCAGCTGCCTTCTGTCTTGTTGCTCTGCTGTAAGTGGTCTTGACCCCATCGTCCAAGATCCCGCATCTGAGCTTCAGGTAGCAGGAGAAAGGAAGGGCTGAAGAAAAAGGAGCAAAGGCCTTATAGTGTTTCCATCGACATCCCATTGGGCAGACGCTAGTCATGTGACCGTACCTACTGCCGCAGAAGCTGGGAAATGTAGTCTTTATTCCAGGTGGTGATGAGCCCAACTGAAATTCAATTTTTATGGGAAAGAGGGAGGATGGATATTGAGGGAAAACTAGCAGTTTCTGCCACAATGGGTAAGTTGCTAGAGAAACAGATAACCCGCATCCAATGCCATTTCTTTGCCAGGATGGGGAGGCCTTTGACAGCTTTGGCTGTAAGGCAAAGGCCAGAGTGACATCAGCTTAAACAAGATGCAAGTTTATTCTCTCCCACGTAACAGCCTGGTGTCAGCATCCGGGGCAGTAAGATGTGCATTCATTTCCTACTGCTGCTGTAGCAAATTACCACAGACTTGCTGCTTAAAACGGCACAAATCTATTATCTTACGGCTCCGGAGGTCAGAAGTCTGAAATGGGTCCACAGGGCTGTGTTCCTCATGGAGGCTCCAGGGAGCTTCTGTTTCCTTGTGTTTTCCAGCTTCCAAAGGCCACCTACGTTCTTTGGGTCATAGCCCCCTTTCTCCATCTTCAAAGCCAGTAGTGTAGCATCTTCAAATCTTTCTCTCTGTCCCTTTGCTTCCATCATCACATCGTCTTCTAACTCTGACCCTCCTGCCTCTGTCTTTTTTAAGGACCCTTGTGATCACATCGGGCCCTCCAATAATCCAGGATAATCTCCTCATCTCAAGATCCTTTACTTGATCCCATCTGTAAAAGCCTTTTGCTATATACAGTAATATTCACAAGGTCCAGGAATTAGGATGGGGCCATCCTTGGGGGGTCATTACTCAGCTCCCACATTGGCGGCTTCACAGTATCGGGATCCCAGACTCCTTCAATCTCGTGGCTGCACATCCTCAGGACTCAGCCTCTTTCTTGTGGTCCAAGATGCATCTTCCAGCATTTTATCCACATTCCGGACAGTCGGAGGTTGGAAAGTGGAATGAAGGGCGTGCCTAGAAGTCACACCTGTTGACTCTCTTCATGTCCCTTGGCCAAGACTCAGCCCTGTTGCCATCCCTAGCTACCAAGGAGTTAGAGAAACTTAGTCTTTGGCTGGGTAGCTGTGTGCCCAGTGAAACTCAGGAGTTCTATTGCCAAAGGACGGAGGGAGAATGGGCACTGGAAGATGACTAGCAGTCTTTGCCACAAAGTTCCTGCAGAATTGGAATACTATCTGATGGAGGGTCGTCTATGGCGGTAAATGGAGTTTGGGTGGCAGGGGGGTGGATACATGTATTGGCACAAAAACGGGAAAAGAATAGACTGCTGAGACCAGGCTGGACTGTTGGAGCTCGTCTGCTCCTTCCTCTCCTTCCACATAGCACTTGTACCAGATGCCCCAGATAACTTTCTTTTTCCTATGAGTTGCCTTTTCTACAAGTTCTTTAGTCAGAAAATTCTTCTTCACGTCTAACTTACTACCTTCTTTTATCATGGAAAGGCAATATTTCACGTCCCACCTTCCTATCTAGAAACAGAATAGTTGTTGCTCCAATGTCACTCTTTGCCTTTTTACCCATTGCACCTGGGGGTACCTTCTGCCTCCTCTTCCCCAGCTCCAAAAGGGCCCCACTTCACGGCAGCCATTTACCACAAGGTAGATGAGTCCTGTCTCCCGGGGAAGGAAAGACAGTGGCTGGATGATGGTTTAAGATGAAAGAGAATTAACCCAGCCAGAGGCTGCCCGTTGGCGGCCTCAGAGGAAGCCAATGCCAGTGGCAGGTGCTTTCCTGCATAAATGAGGGCTCCAGCTCTCCTGATTAAGACATCAGAGCCCGGGGGCCAGGAATAGCACATTCATGATTCATTAAGTGCGAGGCAGGCGCTGAGACTGTGCAAGCGCCGCCCTCATCAGGGCTGATGTTTTGCTAGAACTGGCTGTGCCCGCCCCCCCACCCCCACCCCAGACACCTGTGTCTTTTCTCTCCCAGGGCCGGCGACCTGTCACCTTGATTGGCTTCAGCCTGGGAGCCAGAGTCATCTACTTCTGTCTGCAGGAGATGGCTCAGGAGAAAGGTGAGTCTGGCTTACTGTCACAGATGAAAACCCTTCCCAAGTTCATCACCCACCCAGGCCAGAGGTTCTGGACCAGGGGATAAGAGTCTTGTAAATGTGTTCTTAGAAATAATAGTTAAAAGTTAAAAATAGTTTGAAAATAGACAAAATAGTTAACTCATTTGGAAAATGATTTATTTCTTCTGTACGTAAACTAGAGTGGATGTGAGACAGCCCTGTAATACACTGACCTTTGCGTTCTGATGTGCATTCTTGAGTGGGAGGGAAGGGAGTGAGAGAAGTCTGAAATCAAGGTGTCGGCTGGGCCGCGTTCCCTCTGAAGGCTCTAGGGGAGAATCCTTCCTTGCCTCTCCCAGCTTCTGGTGGCTGTCGGCATTCCTTGGCTTGTAGATGCAACACTCCAATCTCTGCCTCCATCTTCACATCACCTTCTCCTTCGTGTCTTCTCTTATAAGGACAGTGTCATTGGATTTAGTGCCCACCCAAATCCAGGATGATCTCATCTCAGGATCCTTAACTAGTTACGTTTGCATAATGTAATTACGTCTGAAAAGACATCTTTCCCAAATAAGGTCTCATTCACAGGTTCCAGGTGGACATATCTTTTGACAGGCCACCATTCAACCCCCCACAGACACCTCTGGGAGTGTGTCATGCCATCCAATGACGTACTTCCACTGTTGAGGTAGCAGAAAGCTTGAGGGCCACTGCTCTGGGTCTTGGGTGGGTGAGGTCTCCAGGACAGAATCCTGGTTTGCTGACAGATCTGTCAGCAGAGGCTGCTCGTAGGAGGGGGTTGGGGGAGCGAGGTCAGAGCTGGGGGCACTTGGGGTGGCCCACTGTTCGTGGGACCCAGCCTGACCTCTCTCCTGGTGGAGCATAGCAGCAGCAGGACCCTGAAGGCAAGAGAAGGGGCTGAGACAGGGACTCCGTGGCCTGAGAGCAGAGGGTGGATGGGAGCAGGGGCTGCAGTTACAGCCAGCATTCTCACTCAGGATTTCCTTGAACGCCTCTCTGAGCCTTAGTTTCCCCACTTATAAAATAGTTCATAATACCCACCCCATCTGCTTGCTTTGAGGAGCGAGTGAGATGCCCCATGTATAGGACTTTTGTAAATTGTAAAACCCATCATTGACCAAATGCAGCTCAAGGATGTCAGTTTGTGTCCTCTGCTCCTCAGAGCTTCTGGCAACCTGAGGCTACCCCTGAAAATGGCCCCTGGCCAGTCTCCTTGACCAGCCCAAGTGTGTGATCTGATTGCTGACCAGTTGCTAGCAAGCAAGGAGGGGTGGGAATATTTGCCATTGGCTGGACCTGAGGGAGCCGGGTGAGTCGGGGGTTGGCTGGTGTTATTTTCAGCATTGGCATCACTGGAGGGCGTGGGAGAGACCCTGGAGCTTAGCGGCGTGATTCATTCCTCTTCCTTATCTGTGGCTAAAATGTCTCCCCAACATCACCTTGGACTGAGGACCAGAGCTCTTTTCCTGATTGCAAAGGCAAGGTGGAGGTGCCATCCTTGGCATTCATCATGGAAGGCCCAGGCCCCTGGAAGATACCTCCCCACCCCACTCCCTTGTAGCTTTCAACAGCCTCGTTTTCACCTGGTTTTGTCCACATCAGTAAGCAACAGGGAGGAACCTCTGTGCTATTTCCAATAGCTTTGGGTAACCCGGGACCACCGTGCAGCAGGGCCTGGGGAGCCAGCTCTGAGCCGCTTTCCCCAGGAAAATCCAGGCTGGGGCCAGAGATCAGGCAAAAACCACCGAGGAGGCAGGGCTGAATTTGGTGGTCTGGTAAAGGTGACTTTCCATTTCCACTGTGGAGAACATTGTACCTTCCCTTTCTATATACATTCTTCCCCACCCAGGCATCTCCAGGGACAGAGCAAGTCAAAAAGTCCCTTACCTGCCTTTCCTGTTCTACCTGGTACAAATAATCACCTGCTGGGAGGGACCCACAATTTCTCCGCACCCTCAGCTCTTCATCGCCTCCTGTACGTGGCTTTGTTGAGCAACACTACAGCAACACCGTTGTCTCCTACTGCATAAAGCCATGTTCTGTGTTCCTACGACTTTGTGCAGATGATAACTATAGTGTCAGAATCTCTCTCGGGAAAATTGGGCGGCCAGCATTCTCATACAGGCCACAGAGTCTTTGTTAAAAATGTGTGAGTTATAAGAGGCAAGGTGGGTGTATCAGTCAGCTATTGCTTCAGTGATGCTGCATAACAAGCCACCCTCCAAACTCAGAGGGTTGCAACACCGAATATTTTCATCCTCAGAATCTACAGGTTGGCTGTGGTTCAGTTGCTCTAGAGTAGGCTCTGTTTCTGGCTGCAAGTCGGGTAGGCTTGGCTCCAGGCTACAGGCTGGGCTCAGATCTGGTCCATGTGTATTTGTCATGGTGAGGTTGAAGGGGCAGCAGCCACCCGGGGCATGCTCTTCGTATGGCAGATCACTAGAGTGCCAGAGCCAAGCCAAGCCACACTTGCACATTTAAGACCTCTGCTCGTATCGTATTTACTAACATTCTGTATCAGTTATTTATGCTGCAGACAACCTCTCTAAACATAGTGGCTTAAAACACCAATAACTGATGTTTTCTCACGATTCTGTGGGTTGACTCGGCAGTTCCTCTCCTGTGCACACCTGGGCTCACTCGTGCAGTTGCAGTCAGAGCTGGACTGCTTGGAAGGTCCAAGTTGAGCTCACTCCCTGGCTGGTCGTTGGTGCTGGCGGTTACCCGGTTGCCTCAGTCCTTCCCTCGTGGACCTCTTTATCCTCCAGTAGGCCTGCCTGACTTTCTTATGTGCCATTCTCAGGGCAGCGTTTCAAGGAGGCAACAGTGCAACCTGCAATTCCTCTTAAGGCCGTGGTTCCAGAACACATCACTTCTGCCACATTCTGTCAGTCAAAAACAAGTCACAAGTCAGATCAGATTCAATGAGGCAGAGAGGGGAATAGATTCCTTCTCTGGATGGGAAGAATGGCAAAGAATTTTGGTGATGTTTAATCTTCCACACATTCTATTAACCAAAACAAGTGCTGGCTGAGCCCCAGGTCAGTGGAGTGGGGCAGTGCAGTCTGCCCACAGCGGAGGAGGAGGGGAGCGAATATTTGCCAAATGGTAATCCAGACTCTCGTGCTGGAGTAAAGGAAAGCGTGGGCTTTGCAGTCAGCTGAGACCGGGTCTGAGTCCTGCCTCTGCTCAGCTGGGTAGCCTGGAGTGGGCAAGGACGCAGCCTCCCTGGCCGTCCATCTCTCCATTTGCAACAAGAGGTTCATGTCACCTCTGGGCAGTGGCAGAGGCCAGAGAGCTTGGAGGTCAGGCAGCCGGCGCAGCGCTGGGTCCTCATCAACGCATCCTCTAGCAGCCTTCAGGCGGAGGTACCCTGCGGTCCGGGGGGTGGCTGCAGACTCCCCCTGCTCTCTAAACCTGCTCCTCCTCCCAGGAGAGGCTCTTGAAAAGTTGTCATCCTCTGTGCTGTCATCATTTTGCTCCTCTCCTAGTCATCTTCCCCCAACTCATGCGGCAGACCACCTGCCAGGCTCCTCATTACCTGGAGTGATGTGGTCTTATTAATAGGACTCAATTTGGAGGAGAAAGGCATGTCTTTGGCTCCAATTAGCATAAATTACGTGTTAACTTCAGATCATTAATACAAGCCAAATCTTCAGTTCCCCGAAGGGACAGACTGAATTCCTTACCATTGACCGTTTGGGTGTGGCAATAGGAAGTGAAGTCGCCCATCAGCTCCTCCGGAATGCGTGGCTGGAAACTGGCGGGAGGGAGGCAGGTGGCCACTCGGTGGCAGGGCTGGTTAATGAGACATTGAGTGTTCCTGCACTTCTGCCTTTTGGGGGATGGTTCCCAAAGCAGCTTCCTTCCCGCCTCTTTCCTGGCACTGCTCCCTCCCCTGGATCTTCATGGCCCACCAATAACAGTTGGGGCTTCAGTATTAGGCAGACCTGGATTTGGGTCCCAGCTTTGTCATTGACTGGCTGTGGGACCTTGGGCAAGTCACTTAACCTCTCTGAGCCTCAGCTTCCTCATCTGAAAATGGGGCTTAGTTCACTTACCTCGAAGGCTCATGGGGAGATTAAAATGAGACCGTGAATGGGAAAGTACCTGCCCCGATTTGGATGCACTCAGTAACATTTCTTCCTCTAAACTCTAATCTGAGGACCTACTATACACAGGGAACTAGGGTGAGTGCTGTGTGGACAGGGGAGCTTGTCATTTTGTGCCCACTTTCTGGCCTCCGCTTTAGACCGTGAACTCCAGGTAGGCGGGGTCAGCCTGTGCCCCACCATCTCCCCGGCGCCTGGCACGCTCTGAGTGCTCAGGAAGATGGAGGAACTTGACTTTGGGCAAGAGACTGAGGCACGCACTGATGTGCTCATGAGCCAGGTGCAAACTCACCGTGTGCCAGGCCGTGTACTAAGCACTTACATGCAGGATCTCATTCAATCTTGCAGCAACCCTAGGAGGTGGTTCTTCTTCCTGAATGAGAAAACTGAGGGCAAGCCATGCAAATCCTAAGTGCAGAAGTCAGGATTCGACCCCAGGGCGTCTGGCTCCAGAGCCCTCACTTCGAACCACTGTGCCCTATTGTGCAGAGGACCTTGGCCTTGAACGATGGACAGGGGCCATCCACTGGAGCTAGAGGGAAGGGCATTCCAGAGGGTCCGGCTAGCAGGGCAAGGGAAGTGATCTCAGGGGTGTCGGGAAACATTAAGTCTAGTGTTTCTGTAGCCTGTGAAAGGAGACCGAGGTGGAACGGTGGGAAATGGTTAGGACAGGAGCCTGGCATGGGGTCTCCAATGCCAGGCTAAGGAGTTGGAGCTGACTGGGTAGATGCTCAGCCTCTGAATTGTGGAGTGAATGAATAGTGGGTCCTGGGGAGGGAAGAGCTGGAGGGAGGTCAGTGCTGGGCAGGCTGTAGTTCACCCACGTGCACACACGCACACACACACGGCAGCAACTCAGCCGACCCCAAG